GATTACGTTCAGCTTCTCTCGTTTCGTTCATGTGTTCAGTGTGGATTAATTTGTCCCAGATCGCATTCGATTACCCCGTTCGTTTTACTTTATTTGACCGCTTATCATGTGACCGTGGTGACGTTTGTCGCAGGGTCTTTCGGTATGAATTTCGTGAATGAAGCCTACTGGAGGCTTATCGCTCGCTCGCGCAAACTTTCTTTCCTATGTCTTCATGCTCGATGTGCGGTTCTCATCGATCTACCTCGTACTTGATATCTGCGTTGATGGATCTACCGTCATCTAGCTTCTGGTCATGGTCAAATTGGGCTGTGTTGTCCGTTCCGCACGATCTGCGCTCACGGATGTGATATGTTCACCTCATGGTTCTCCGTACAAAACACCATAAGTATCTGGGGACAACGCTTTGACGTGCGAGTGTGGCCCACCAGTTAATATGGCCATCGGTGCTTGTCGAGATCCATTGTGCGGCATGGTTTTCCAGACGATGCAAATGAAATGAAAACTGGTCACCGGCTCACCCGGAACATCACTGCTGCCTTGCATTGCGCGCTGTGTTGCACAAAGGCTGGACCACCGTCGAACAAGGCTCACTATGGATCGAGTGAGACAATAGCTCACAACGCACAGAACCATGTACTTTCTAGCACTTGTGACTGTTCTATTCGAACGGAAAACATTCTACACCATACACACCCCTCGAGATCGCAGATCGGTCTCATCGCGATAAGCCACAATTGGTGGGGCTGTATTGAAGACTGCCGATGGTACTGGAGAACTCACCTCAAATCGCACAACGCATTAATATGCTCCATGTGCTTCGTTGGGCGTTCGAATCGCACGATACAACGACGATCAGACTATGATAAGTTGTCCAAACCAGCTTGTCTAACAGTCTTCTAAGATGCGCCATCTGAAAAGCTAGAAACAAACCCAACCGATATCATCAATCAGCCCGTTGGGTCCTATTCTGGCTGATAGTTTCATGGCTGGTCTAGAGGAAAAAGCCAGAAGAGCATTGAACGGCAGTGTTCTGTACATCGACGACACGTTGATAATCATCCGAAACACCAGGGAGACTGAGGAGCTGTTATCTGAATTGAGTTTACTTTACAAGGTTATACAACTCACTGTGAAAGCCGAGAAAAACAACACACCTCCATTTCTGGATATTGTTATTAGTCGNTACTTTACAAGGTTATACAACTCACTGTGAAAGCCGAGAAAAACAACACACCTCCATTTCTGGATATTGTTATTAGTCGAAGACCGGACGGGACTATTTCGATGTCTGTGCATCGGAAATCCACCTAGACCAGTCAGTATATGCATTTGTCGGCCAGTACAAACGAGGTCTCGCGCCTACACTGTTCGACCGAGCTAGGAGACTGTGCACTTCGGATAATCTGAAAAGTGAACTAATTCGGTTCACTTCAGTGAACCTGAAGCTCAAAGGCTACCCAGCAAAATTCATACAATTGTACAGTGAAAACGTCGAGCCCCAACCCTCGGAGATCATAGTGCCAAAATACGACGTCACCGTTCAATTTTCTTTCAAAGGTAATGATGCAGGCCAACTCATACGAAGACGGCTGGTGACGACTGTAGCTTGCACATAATTTGATGCAAATCCGGTCGTTCGCTTCACAGCAATCTAGATTCCGAAACCCATGGTGAGATCACCGCTCCCTCTGTCCACCAAATCGCATGTAATCTATGGATTTCAATGTTTGTGGGCAGAAACGAGAGGCAGCTGCGTACCCGAGTGGCCGAACACATACCGGTATGGGTGGAACGCAAGCGAATGAGATTGGGCGCTCCACCAACAACCAGGCCATCAAGTCAGTCTCAAAGAGCACCTGGTCATCAATTGCTCGCCATCTGCTGCAGACTGGCCACCGGGCCGAACGCGGGGACTTCTTTTCGGTTTGTTTGCACTACCTCCAATGAACAGCTGCTAAGATTTGCAGAGGTCACAGTGATGAAGCACCGAATACCCTGTTGTGTCAAAAGACGCAGCCTTACATCAGTCTGGTATTGCCCTGGTAAACACGTAAGCGGAAAAATGAACTGATACCATGTTAGATTGTCATGCCCTGGGATAAATGAACTATTTTGTTTCTGTAGTAAGCACAAGCTGAGATGCAGTGAAATAGTTCCGGAATTAAATCATGCTCGCATGCAGTGTTCTGTTCTTCGAAATGAATTCGTCTCCTTTCACCTGATCCATCTGCTATAACCTTACGCTATCGCAATCGTGAACACATTCTCTTGTAATTTAACCTTTGTGCCCACGCTCGATTATTTGATCCGAGGTTTCATCAGCTTTCGTTTTATGGTTTCCTTCGATTTCTCTCTAATTTATCTTCAGGACTTACTTTTCTGTTCGGGTTTGAATGGATTTTTCTTATGTTTGGGTGATGTCCTATTTTCTCTTCGCTAACGGTGTGGTTTGGCTGGATCGTATTCCGTGTTAACCTTTTTCCTACGGCCCTACTTACGAATCCTGTCTGATTTCGCTGGGTATGCATTTCGACAGCTTTCAAATAATGGGCCTTGTTCCAATTGTTCTCGTTGTTGCAAGTTCTCGTTCCCCACTAATATGCCGTACCGAAGTGTCTTCTGTCAATTGAGGTTCTGTTTGATTGAAAGCGGAGAAGAGCACGTGTTTGTCTAGTGTGGAGCATGGGAGCATGGTTGTCGTATCCCTTCTCTCGGGAAGTCTCCTTCAAGTTTCGAGATCAGATAGGAACAGAGTTGTGTTGAATGGTGGCAGAGGGTAGCGGAGGAATTTGGCTTGCTTGAGAACATTCTATACAAATGCTTAAGTGAATTGTGCATTGATATGTTACGTAAATGTGGTCAGAACGTTTGGTCAGATTTCGGTGACAAAAGTCGAAATGTCACGTACGCGATGCGATTGATTGTGACTTACTCAATTGCACTTGGAGAGTGGTGTCGTCAAACGAATAGCTAGTATTCACACCGACAGAAGCTTGGTAGTTCTGAGATCCGGATACGAGCAACTGGGCGACCTGATCAGTATTTGGTGCCTCCGATACCGGCGTTTGTACAGTGAGTTGTGCATCGGCCCACACAGATCCTTGGATGAATTGAATAATGTTGCACGTGGCTGTCTGGAGCAGAGTAGAGCCTGAGTAGTTGGCAGCTGTGAGGATCTGTTGTGGTATGAGGTTGTTAGAAGCAAGGTTGAATTGATAGAGAGAGAGGGAGGGGGAGAGGGAGAGCGAGAGTGGGAGGGAGGGAGGGAGTGAGAGAGAGATTTGGATTTGTGTATTTTAGCCTTGTGTTGGATTGAATGTTGGAACGGTTTGCCGAAGAGTGTAGCACCAAAAGGAAACGAAACATTGCAAACATTTGGAACGCACGTGGGGTAAGTGCCGTCACATTTTGGGTGTCAGATAGAGGGAAGAAGAGTAAACCGACCAAGATGAACAAACAGAATAACGCGTGGATCGGTTGTAAGGATTTGGCATTCGCGGGAACGGAGGTAGGAGTGGGATTAAGATGAAACGGATAGTGGAGCGGTTTCGGATGTTCTCATCCCAAACTCTTCATCCTATTTGATATAATTTTCGATTTGGAAAACACAGCGATGTCGGTACAAGTGGAAATAAGCCGACCATTCGGTTACGGTGGGTAACCTTTATGAAGGCGATTTTACAATCGAATGGCTCGGGAATAGTTTGTCCAACGCCCGATCCGGATCGGTGACTTTCACACAGACACGGACACAGACTACATACAAACGCGCACACACAGTGCGTGAGAGTTTAAATGGCAAACTGTTTCTCACTCATTCGATTGTAAAATAGCCTTTATAAAAGTTAGCCACGGTAACCGAAACGTCGGCTTATTTTTCGCCTGTATCGAAATCGCTGTGTTTTCAAAATTACAACTCGTATAAATCGTATCACATGGCGCATCGATTTTCCCATACACTCCGAACGTCGTTCGGATCTGACACTATCCTTATCCTATTCGTTCAACAGTGCTACTTGATCACCAATTTTCTTCTTCCATATATTGTTCTGCCCGTATTGTCAAACTAGGATCGCGAGTGTCCATGATGATTTCAAACCGTTCCCACGTGAAGCGATTTGTGACCTCTTCTCAATTTCTCACTGTCTATAAGGCTTCAATGCGTTCCAATGTGAAATTTTGAAATCATCCCTGGGGTTGGGAACTCCCTTTATCCTTGGCAGTTTTGAACTGTGTTTGGCTAGGATTCTCTATCTTCCGCTTGAATTTGCCTTCAACATTCAAATCTTCATTCTAGTCTTTTATTCCAACAGGCGGCCAAAAGAGAGCAACCAAGCAACGGCGCACGAAATTGCATGCTTAATTGTTGCAAAAACTGAACTGAAATGAACTTCGAGTGAAGACATTCGCCCCGCAGCTCATCCGTTTAGAACATGCATAATTGAATCACTTGCACATCGCTGTGAAATCACCTCCCCACTTTGGAGACCCGGTCACAAGAGCTAAGTCATCTTAACCATGTGACTCTAAACACTTGTCGAACGGTACCGTTCGAATAGGCTTTTTCCACGAACTGTGCGATACCCTTCCTTAACGAGTGACTGCAATGCCCGTGATGGCCCTGCCAGTTGATCCACCCTTTAACAAACTCCTCGCAATACATAGTAGAAATCGTACGTGAACGATGTGAAATAGATATTGATTCACTAAATCGGTCCAATATGGCTAATGCGATTCGTACTTTACCGACCGAAAAGTATCCCCGAGAGAACGCTTTCTATCCCGAGATGTACAAAGTGTCCTCTGACTGTGCAAAAACTCCTTCTTTGGTCAGTTTGAGAATGCATAGTTACCGCAGCAGATTGGAACACTTCCATTCTACTCCGTTTGCTCAATAAGTGTGATGGAACGATGTGCAACAACCGCCGAGGCATTAGCTCGATCCATGTGGCCGCTAAGATATTCTCGGTGATTTCAGTCGATCGGTTTTCTCTTGTACCCGGTAGCTGCCCACACCCTAGTTAAGCGGAGGTTCTACCGGGACAACCGATGCATAGAATAATATTTCATTCTCAACCAGATCTGGTAGCCATTGGCCACTACGTTCTGATGATAAAACGAAGCTGGTGCTTCCGGCGACGTGATAGAGGAACCAACAACTACCTGAGAAAACGCTGTCGTAACATCTAGCGGCTGTCGTAGCAGAACTCGGAAGACAACGCCTGACGAACCCATGGAACCGATCCATACCCCAGAGAGAGGTAAACACATAGAGGCGAAAGTGAAGGTAAGCGGTGGTACATGTCGAGGTACCAATTCTGTCGAATCTCACAATCCCTTCTACTCCAATGATTACAAAGTGATTTACAATGGCCAAAGCGCTGAGCCCGATAATTGGCTGCGGTTTCTGTCTACAGGTGAAACGAATGGCCAATTAGTCACTGTTCCCACATTCAATCTAACGCTGAGAAATTCGTATACATTCAGTTGTGTCGTCCTCAGTGAGTTCGTCTACATAGAGCATTGGCTTTGATCAGTGTGTATCCACTCCATCATGTTCCATGGACCAGAGTGAAAATTGTCAATTGTATGCGAAATTCACACGCACAACTAACTGTGCGATGGGACCGGCATGTATACTCCATATATATGTATATACATGTATATAAGTATATATCCATAAATATATCCATATATATATATAT